CTCAGCTGGTGAAGTACAAATGACATACAAAAATGTAGGCTACTTGAGATTAGACAAAACTCTGCGCCCCAACACCAGCATGTGTCTTCTAACCACACACAATAATGCATATTTCATTAATTTCAAATTGAATGGTGCTGGTGGCAATATTGTTGGCTCTGCAAAAGGTTAGTTTACAAAAGAAAGAGAAAAAAAAGAATTCAGATTCATTCTCTTTTCCTAGGTAAACAGATACATCTACACCACAAGGTTAAAATTAGATTCCTGGAAAAATGTTCTCAGAATTTGCTAGTTTAGTTTTAGTAGTAGAGGTTTTACCGCGCTCGCAACTGCATAAGGTCTTATGAGCGCCAGAAGATAAGAGGTGTTACAAGACAGTAACAAACATAAAAGAGAAGAAGGGGAGATAAGGATGATAGATGTTAGATAGGAAAGAAGGAGCAAACCACACCAGAGCACCCGCCAACCACCCACAATTTGCTAGTTTGCGTCAGACACCACTGAAATACTTTTAATAATCTGGCATCACAATAATAAATACATCAGCATATGCAAAAATAAATAGTTACACCCAATGATAAAAAATGACAAAGAATATTATATGTATGAAACTCACTCTACATCCCACTTGACCATCAATAAAAAAAAACAACACATACTGAAGTTACACAAACGAGTTAACACAAACTACACACAGAGGGGAAAAGTTCTGTAGAAGTAGAAGGACATTTTTTTTTACCTCTTGTGGATACTAAAGAAGAAATGCGCATGCGCACACCGCTGCATATGTCAGTGTGAGTGAGTGTGTGGATGGTTAAGACTGCTGAGCAGAATTAATACTCAAAAGCAAAGGAAAGGTATACTTTGGTGACCTAGTTCATAGACAAATACTTCTTACAGTATGTCCTTTTCTCATAATGGAACAAGCTTTCTGGTCAACGTCACTGCATGCCGACCTGTCAAAGCCAGTTGTGATAACATTAACATGACCCTGTTGCATTTGGTAAACCCAGTTTGAAATATAAAAGTGCATTTGAACTTTTCATGGGAAAACAATATATTTGAGAAAACCCATAGAATTCTGTGTCAATTCAGAGAAATAATTCTAATTGTTAGATGATGGATGACTATTTATTATATCCAAAAAATATTGATGAGGGCAGTAGTTCTAACAAAAACAAACTTTTTGTCTCAAGAACAGGTACCTTACACATAATTAAAAAATACACGCCACACGGACGCCATTATTTTGAGCGAGAGGGGGAAAAATGTGTTGGGAAAAAATGTTATGCCATTCCACATTTTATGGTAAATACAGAAACAAATTTAATGCTGTCATTGCATGCATAATGGCAATATAAACAGACATGTTGATTTCTCCAGGTTAAGGACAGCCTAAGGCGTACTGTGAGAAAAGAGCAGTGTTTACAGGCAGGTTTTTATCTTGCTTTATTATGCAGTCATACTGGTTTTGTAAACACTCGCTGCATACAGATAAATTACTCCCTACAGACTGTACAACAAGAGGATTCTGAATCAGATGAGAACAGAAGCATGGCAGTGATTACAGTATTTCTTGACATAAGATTGACACCATCAGGGTTAGCCTACACCCCCCGGAACCAAGAGAATTTATGGTGTGGTATCACAAATTGACCAATGTCTTCTTCTACCATAAGCTACACAAGAATCAAACCACAATATACAAACAGAACACCCTGTACTTTGTCCTACATAAAAACAGTCGGCAACTCTTGCTTTTTCTCACCAGAATCATGGCAAATCATATAAGATAAGATAAGATATGTGTACATTTATGACCCAACACTAGACTAACCTCCACTTGAAAAAGTTTTTTTTTCAAATGCAAAATTCCCAAACATTTATTTACAGAACAGGTACTTATAAAGGGCTTGTCTATCAAATTTTAAACTACAATTAGACAAGGAAACAATTGGTTTCATGCTGTTCACAGAACCAAATGGTGTTGATAGCACTTTAAATAAACACCCACTCAACAGGCTATACGTGACTGGCACTCTTTGTGATAACCATTCATAAGGTGACCTCTAAACAATGCTTTTCTGAAGTACAAGTTTCTGTCACAGTTCTTTTCTATTTTAAGGAAGTAATACGAAAATGGTTAACATGTCAGTCACTATTATGACCTTAACAGCACTCGGTATAGGAAGGATGAGTCGGAGTCCGTCTTAACCCTTTGAGGCTCCTCCCTCCCCCTACTGAGCCAACACAAGCAGAGCGAGCACCTGAGCTCCTGCGCGTTGAAAGCCAGATCTACACCACTGCGTCTTAGGACGAGTGCTACGGCAGAGAAAATAAGTCCGGCTCTGGTGTGCTATAGGTGCAGAGAGAGGGGAGGCTCAAAGGGTTCAGATGGACTCTACCTTCTAATACTAAGCGTGTAGCTCAGGTCAGAATATTTGGGGGAGAAAAGGATGCCATGGATGCTTTAGACAAGAAGGTCCACTGCCCTTAGTACTGCATCAACTCCTCTCATATTTCCTGGCCTATTCTATACAACACATTCACTGTTACATATAGCACGGATGCAGGTCATAACACACAACTGTTTGACACATGAGTACATACCCTGGATGGATAACATTTGTCGGGGATTTTAAAAAACAGGCAATCCAGAAAAGAGAAAGATGACACAACACCATGAAAGTGTAAATGGAGCTGATAAAACAGATGAAGGAAACACCTGTTGAACAAAATCCAAGAGAAAGCACAAAGTGACAGAGCCACTAAATGACACAGTGAGAATGCGACGTAATAATTAGATGGAACCAATACTGTAAAATATATGTGAATATCTTTTCCAATAAAATTACAAGATTCTCAGGAAACAGGGAACATTTTGCTTACGAATATTACTAATTTGAGAATCAAAACCCACCGTAGATGATTTAGTTTAGTTTTAGTAAGTGTTTTACGGCACTTGCAACACAATAAGGTCATATAAGTGCCGAAGATTAGAGGTGTTATAAGAGAGTGATAAACACAAAAAAGAAGGATGGGAGATAACGAAGATAGATGTTTGATAGGAAGGAAGAAGCAAACCACATCACAGCACCCGCCAACCACCCCAAGAGATGATTTGTCGGTCGGTATTGGGCACATCCATACACAAAATCAGTGACGAAAGCTTTCATACAAGTTTCAGTCACAACAAGGGGAAAAGGATATTTAAAAGTTTCAAAGTAAATAACAAAAAAACCGGCTACAAACAAAAAAGGTTAAGAAATTGTGTCAGCGAAATAAACAAAGACTGAAACAAGACAGCAAAAAAGTGCTAGGAGACGAGAAGACAAAAAATTATTACAGATCTCTCAAGAGAACAAACAATCATTTAAAAATCAGCACAAAATGAGAACATTACCCCTTTAAGTTAGCAACAAAATAAAAGGAGAAGCAAAGGATAAAAATCAGTACAGTCAAAACGAATTCTTTCAATCTTTTAAACAAATATAATGGAATGCACAAACCTCGTGGTACGTATCAAAGGGAAGAAAAAAATGCAGTTTATTCATTTAGAATTAAATAAAGAATATTTTTTTTCACTCTGTTCTTGATATCAATGGGAAAAAAAAGGGAAAGCTTAGAGCACATGACCTTACCACACTGACCCCACAATCTTTGAGGACAACTTTTGTTATTACAAATACATTTTTTCCCCAATATAAATTTTGTAAAAAGGTTGCTTTTGGACAAAAAATGTCAACCTCCCAAAACACAAAAGCACAGGAGTAAGTTGGCACTGATAAATAAAAACTGGCAAAAAAAAAAGCAGGATAAAGCCCCCCCAAAACCCACCAAGCATTAGCTCATACTCTCATCTAGTACAAAACACCATTACTACTTGGAAGAGCTCACTAAATTAAGAAATATGAGGGACTATATTTACTACAGTGGAGCCCACTCATAACGAGTCCAGGAATAACGAGAAGTCTGTTATAAAGACACTATTCTAAAACCCATTTCCCCCCCCTTCTTTACCTTTGTAAATAAAATACTGCTATAGTGACCTAGTGAAACCAAGGACCTTATAATTCCTTGAGCGAAACAAAGAATGGGAGAGCCCACGTGAGCCAACAATGAAGGCCGGAGCGAATGAGTGGGGAGGGTGTGGTACGCACAGACAAGCAGAACGCATCGTGAGATAGGCCAGCCTAGTCTAGATTATCTAGGCCTACCATGCCTCTCACTTCTCCGATGCGGGGATGGAGAAGTCACAGTATATGTACCGGTACTCAACTGTGAAGGATGGAGCGAATGTGTGATGTGCGCAAGCAGACGAAACGCACCACAGGGTGTGGTGGGGTGGAGAACAACACAGCGGGCGAGTTAACCTAGAGCCCTTTCTTTCTGATCGCCAACGCTGAGCTGTCAACATAGCTAGCGCTAGAGAAAGAGACCTGATTTGATATTTGATTATGTGAGACCTTGAGGTCATGTTGAACAAAACCATCATCAGGGGAAATTACAAAAAGAAATAAACAGAACACTAAACTCATAGATTAGGCCTATATTTTAATTCCCTTGAATTTATTACTGGATCCCTTATAACTAGAATCCGGGTATATCGCACATTTCGCACCGGTCCCCTCCCTCTCATTATAACAGGATTTCACTGTATATCTTTCATTGGCCAGCGTAAAAAACAACAAAGTACCATTTCTGCACACAGTATACACCCACTGGTTGAAAAAAATGAACGGTTGCTGAACTGTCCATCACCCACACTGACAACTGTTTGATATGATATATATATATATAACATCGGCCACCCTCTATCGGACAAAACCATTGAAGCATTACAAAATGTGAGGATAAAAACTCCCCCCCCCCCCCCCCCTCTGATGCCGACTCAGAAATTAAAAAGCGCATCAACTCTCATACAACGAATTATGCACACCATAGCTAAAATCAACACTTTCACATTAAAGTCACAGTGGAACTTAAAGACAGAGTTGTTGTTTTTTTTTCTATTATACAGACATATCCTATGAGATTTTTCTCAAACAATACTTCAGGCCAGCACACTGATAGCAGCAAGACAAACAGGGTAAATTTTCCTTGGGTTTCTATTCTGTCTATTCTGTATATTGAAGAGAAAAGTCTAAAATCTACCACAGGAACATTTAAACGTGCACAGCAGTGGCCTGTAGGCCTTGCTGTTGGCGCACGCAGTGTTCTGTAATACTGTGACAAAGTAACTAAGGTACAAACATACAGTCTTCCATGACATAATTAAACGTGAAGAGATTGAGCTTGCTTTCTGAGACTCCAGCCACATTTTCTTCCATGTCAGCATGTAGTGTTCTATTAGATGTTTACTTTAACCAGAGGCGCCATACCCTTAGCAGCCAGAGAGATGTGAAGACAACAAGAACACACTGACAGCTGTACTTGTTGACAAAACTTCTGCCACACCTATGCTAAAACTCTTGTTAACGTCAATTGCTGAAACAAAATCTGTAATCTGTAAAAACTCACAGCCAATCAAGCATGGAAAGGGTTGTTGGTTCTTTCTGATGGCTGAACATTTTCATTCCGAGAGCCTGCTGTTTCTAAAGCAAAAAAACCCCCCAAAAACGATCTAAACAAATCAATAGTTGGGCTAAATCTATAATTTACATAAGCAGTAAAGTAAAGGAATAAATGCCCCGATGGCCCCAAATACAGGTAACAACATTGCACTGGTGTCATCTGCTGCATACGGATCTTTGACCTTTGGCCCTGACGGCCGCCGTGACTTTTGAGGTTTGCTGCTTAACGACTCCTCCTCGTCATCGTCTTCTTCCTCAGCAGCTTCAGACCCTGGCATTGAGGGTAACTTGGGGACATCTGAAAGACCAATACAAAAAAAATAATTTTTTAGTTTCCCTACATACACAGGACCTTCAAAAACAGAAATCATTTTCCAATTAAAAAGTTAAACACAGTCACAGAAAAACCAACTTGTTGCTGATAAAAACTGAGCAAAGTTAAGGTTTAAACAGAAATTGTAACAGGAACATTGAGAGCTGTAATGGCAAGACTCTTTATTTTGCATGTAAAAGCTGTGAACCAAGCTTTTAGGAAATTGTCCAAATGTTAGTACCAGTGGAACCATACCCCCTTTCATATGGAAGTGTTTGATTCACTATTGAATTTTTTTTCAAACAAAAACAGCACTTAGTTTTATTTCATGAAGTCTGCAATTTCATTTACAATGGTAAATTTCTAAACTGACTGAAGCATTCAGGACTGACAGGCTGGTTATTTCTAATGTTTGATCCATTTTTTTTCTTCACAAAAGTTGCTTATTTCCAGCAGAGAACACACTGACATTGGAACACTAAACAGGTTACACATGACTTAGAAAATTGCAGACAAGCAGTGTTGAAAAATCAGAATATATTAATTTAAAAAACAGAAACAAAAATAAATGACAAGAATTGCGAACGTGAAGAGACAAGAGTCAGAGGCTCCCTGTTGTAACAAACAGTTTAAAACGGTAGCCTTAAAAATTCACTAAAAACAACAAAATAAATTACAAGAAACCACATACCATCTGGAGTGCCTTTCATCACATATATGGCATTCACTTTAGGATTATCAAGGTCACCCTGGAAATATTGAAAATGAACCAAATAAGAAAGTATCATTGGAAATAGCATTGCCACAAAAATAGCATTCCCGCAACCCAAAATTTTCTGGCAGCCAGTAAAACAAATGATCAAATACAAAACTGCTGTTTTCTGTTTAAAATGTCTACATGATAGTGCACCTAAATATCTAAAACAATTCCTGGAATTATATCAACCACACTGAGCCTTTAGATAAGCCACTGACGAAAACTGATTCTACAAACCTCCCCAAACAAAATTATAAAACATATGGCGAGCGTTTCTTCTTTTTTGATTCCACTGTGTGGGACAAACTCTGAATAGAAAATATGGAGTGCCCAAAATATTCACATTTCAAAATACCGCTGAAGCACTACTTATTTACAAATGCATATACTTGTCATAACGAAAAATGTTACTTTTTCTGGTACTACATGCATGTGTATGCCCGAAGGGGACACTGAAGATTTTAAGGTGGTCGCAACTGCATAAGATCATATGAGAGTGCGGGACACATCAAACATTTTCAGTTGAGCGCATGCAACTTGCACACGAGACTTCCGAAATTTGTTGACCTTATCAGAGAAGGCTAGGTGTACATCTTACCTACCATAAGATCAGGCGTGTGGCTGAAAGACAGAGGTAAAAAGGAATACAAGAAGTAGCAGTAGAAAGGCTGCAGAGAGAGTCAGGAGCCCAGAGGGGGGGGCAAAGGAGGTGAGGGGGTGGGGGTAGAAAGTGGAGACGAAAGAACATTGTTAGAGAGCAGGAAAGGATGTGAAAGGAGAACATTTTAGAGAGGAAAGTTTTCCATCGCTATCCGGTTTCAAACTCGGTACTATTTAATGAAAGGCAAACACTTTAACCTCTAGACCACAAGAACCCCCAAATAGTGTGTGTGTTAGGAAGAGAGATAGAAAGAAGTGGGGGAAGATGAAGAGAGAGACACAGGGAGAGAGAGAGACAGAGGGAGAGAGAGAGAGAGAGAGAGAGAGAGAGAGAGAGAGAGAGAGAGAGAGAGAGAGAGAGAGCTATTCTATCTGGAGAGACTGAATGTTTTATTCTGCCTGTAGCTATTCATGTTTCAGTTTTATTGTGACTGTTAGTGAGTTTTTTTTGCATTCTACCTTTTTTTACTGCACACATTGCCAAACTCACTGTGGAACTAATTTTCTTATAAAAATCTGTATACATGCATAATATAATATTACATTTTTACATATACACCTGTCCATTAATTTTTAAAATGTGATGTCTTTATTAATCATATGCAAAGTGCATTGAGCGTTTTTTAGAAAATAAAAATGGGCAGCATAAATGCTTTCATTATTATTATCGTGTAGCCAGCATTTAGCATTTACAGCATCACAAAGAGGTACTTGGCCTCACAGGTCGCATTATTTGGATCTGGCCAAAAGGAACAAACAGACAACTAACAAAAAACTAAGTGCTGTCACAATCCTACAAGCTAAATCCAAATAATTGTATTATAATAACATTTCAAGAAAGAAAATGCTGGCAAAAAAAGCTCAAACTTCTGCTGAAAGGCCAGGAATCTTCTGGAAACACTGTTCACAGCATATGCTCACACACAAAAAACAAGCAATTCCACATGAATTATTCAACATTTGGCAGAACATAGCCTTGCGTGATCAGGTCGATATGTGTTTGCGGCTGTACCAACAGATGACGACAATCGCTACCTTGATAAATTCGATAGATATCTTGCTGCTGTCAATTTGTGATGTTTCGCCATTAACTCTCAGCTTTCCCCCTCGGACCGTCAAAGGAATAATTTCATCATGTGCCACACCTCTGCCAACACGGGCGAAGATGTCCAGTTCACTCACAACAGTGTGTTCACCATTCAGCACAACGTCAAAAACCTGCAAACACACACACAAAAAGGGAAAACCTTGTTCATATATGTAAAACCAAAAAAGTACAGTGGTGTCTGCCTCACAACAACCCATTTGGGAGGAAAGCCATGGTTGCTGTTGACAAAATTTTCAAAAGCAAACCCCCCCCCCCCCCCAAAAAACAACAAAAAAAGGGGGGGGGGGGATTAACTCTATACTATATTTATCCAAGCTGAGTGATATTAAAGCCTACTACATAAACTAAATTAGTAAGAAGCCTAGCTATAAAATATAGCCTAATTACTTCCTGTATCCAAAAGCTATAGATACACACGCCAACAGACACAGCAAAAACCTTTGTGGTGCACACACACTGTCACTCTCATGAACAAAGAAGTAACCTACAGAGCAATATTATGCTATCTCTCTCTCTCTCTATATATATATATATACCTATGCCTATACCTGCAATTTCTTACCATAAACTAAGTATAAGTGGGACAGCTCAATAACTCCTGTCTCATGTTCAGGTTGTTACAGGCATTGAATAGCCCATTTCTTGTTCATTTCTATCTATTTTTTATATATCCGTCGCTAATTATTAGTTTTAAATTAATATTTAATTAATATTTATTTGTGTTAGAGAAGCCATCTAAATATTAATTAGTAAGAGGCCTACACTAAGCCTGAAAGGACTTCCGTGACGAGCGACCACCCCAACAAACACATTCAATACAGAGGACAAGAGACCTACCCTAACCCTGACCCAAGCTGTAACCATATCCTTACCCCCAAACCCTACCCGACCCCTAAAAAACCCTCTAGGCCATATGCATGCCACCCCCATGAGGTAAAAAAACAAAAAAAAGGGGGCTTTCAGGGAGGCATGCCCCCTGTATTTCTCTAAAATTTTATGTTTTGCGTTAGGCCGTCGTTATTCGGACTCGAGTCCGAATAACATTTTTTCATATTCGGACTCGAGTCCGAATTAAAAAAATTCTTATTCGGACTCGAGTTCGAATATGAAAAAATGTTATTCGGACTCGGGTCCGGAAAAAAGGAAGTGTCTTGGTTCTATAGATCTAACGTTCAGTGCTTCCAATTTTCCGCCATTTTTTAGTTTCCCCTACACCTTTTCTGCCGATCCGATGCCCGCCGCCTCATTGATTATGATTGATACGCCCCCCCCCCCCCCCAGCCCTACCCCCCATGTTTCCCACTTTCTTTGTTGTAGAAAAAGGTAAAATTGAAGATTAGCAGACCACCTGGCACCTGCATATTATGAGCTGTGTAAAAAAAAAAGACCGATTCGTTCAAATACACAAGCCTGTGTCATCTCGATTGTTTGTTTACCAAGAAAAAGTTGTGTTGCTGTGTAGAGCTGAGCATACGGCAACTTTTGATTCCATAGACCAGCGCACAATTCATTACGTAGATCTACGTCAAGATTAGCTTATAATATTATTGTATAATAATGATCAGTTGCCAGGGGGAAAAAGACTGACGCGTATGCGACGTTCAACGCCCGGACCGATAGTGCCCCCCCACCCCCCTCCCTGACACGCACACAGCCACACGTGTGCAGGCCGCCCATCTGACCCCGACACACGCTAACGAGCCATCTTTAATTGCTTCTGACGATCTCTTGACAAATAAACATTTATTAGAAGCGCTATAACTTTTCAGGCCGGCCTCAAATTCATCATAAGATAACAACTCGGCTCCTGCACAAAACGCCTTTTTGCCCGAAGTAATCCCGATCTCTACCCAGCCTGAGGCGAGTCACGAGTGAGGCAGGACAGGAAGCCGGAGTCACGAGTCACAGGAAGTCGGAAGTGATGTCATGCTGGACAAGAATCAGAGTCCGAATAACATTTTTTCATATATTCGGACTCGAGTCCGAATAATCACTTCGTTTGCATTAGATGATTAGAAATGGTTTGTTTGAAATTTTCTTGAAAAAATTTAATACACATTTGCGATAATTTTAGAATAGCCTAGTTAATTAAGTTAGAGTGGTCTTATTCATATATATGAGTAATCTACAGCAAAAAATACTGCCATTTAACCATCTAAATGCAGAATACAAGTGTGAAAGTAAGTTACCATTTTTAGCAACACTTTACATCAACAAAATTGTTTTAGTCTAAAGTTTCTACAAACAAGCGGATAGCTAGAGAACGATAACTAAACGCCATTGGCCGATATTTATAGTAGCAACAACAGCCATCTTGTTTGACCTCGCAAGGGGGATGCCGCCACCTCATCTGATCATGATTTAAAAAATAATGATGATTTTGTGCAGCATGCGGTTTGCACTGACAGTTTCCAAGCTCCTTCCCCTTATCATATAGTTCTACTCCATTTGCAGCTCAGCGTCCTATTTTGAGTCTAATCTCTTGTTTAATTTCTTGTGCTTACAAAACTTTGAAAGAAACAATCTTGATCGAAACGGTCAATTATTTGCACTGCGTCTGTGTTTTTGAACTTAAAAAAAAAAATTTGCTTTCGTATCCAAACTGACGTAAGCCTGCTCTTAGTCTTCTTCTGCTTCTCAGTTTACGTAAACGGTAGTGTACAGCATCGGAGTCAATCTGAAGAAGGGTGCTGCACAATCACAGTCATCACATTCACAGACAACTGAACTGAGGGCCCTGAACTGAACAGTTTGCAAGTTGCCAAGAAAATAATCCGAGTCGGCAGGCTGCCGTCGTGTTGCCATAATGACTGACAACGTGGGAATCCCTCAATGGCGTCAAACAAGATGGCCGTTACTATAAATATTTGCCAAAGGCCAAAGGCGTTTAGTTGTCGCTCTTGTTCTATCCGTTTAGTTTAGTGATCTAACAAACTACAAAAACACCTAGAACTTACCTTCTGATTGGCAGCTGTGAACCACACCTCACTGAATTTGATAACAAGCACATACTCTCCGTCTCTATGAACTGGAATGTCATAGCCAAAAGTACTAACATGATATCTTTCTGTCTGGTAAAGGATTTGATCTTGGGGTACAACCCTCTGGATCATCAAACTTTTCCCGAAATCGGAGCTAAACCCGGTGTCCGAGGGGTCTGCTTCATAATGAATGCCATGGACATCAGTATGTTCCTCTCCACCGCAGTTAACAGCCCATACAACTTCACTCGCATTAGCGCATTGCATTAATAAGGCAAGTGACAGAAGACATGCAAAGAGAGGTTTTTTCAACATCAAAAGCCTTTTGCTAAGGCTCACAAAAATACCGGTAAGCATCAACATTCTCATGCGTTCGTCCGTTGTTTAGAACCGGAAGTCGGAAATGCTACGTAGAAATAGGAATTAGAGGAAAAGATGGATGCTTCTACGAAGTAACTAACGCCTATAGCCTACAGCCTATAGGCAAGGAGATTAAAAGTAGTTCTAAGCTCCTTGCTGATATGCCAATTAATAAGAGGCCTATGAAGTAAAGTAAAACTATGCAAACAATCGATTCAATATTCCGTTTTCTTAGGCCTATCAACACATTTTTTTGGCTTCTAATACTAAACAATAGAATAGCTTGATATAATGATTCGAAAATTAATGCCTTTGTTATTTCTTGTTTTATTTTTATTCAGAGTGTCCATATGGGGCATGCACAGCTCTCTTTTTCTTTTCTTTCTTTGTTGTATTCCTTCAGTTCAGCAAAAGGCAAGGCACGGAGAAACCATACACGCTGTCTCCATGTAATACATGTAATTCGAGTTGAGCTAAGGTTGTTGTGAGATCAAAATAGAAAATTGAGGAAGAGCCAAGAGGAGAGGAGTGGTGCATAAAAAACGTCCTGATGACGGCTGAAAGCAACCCGATCAAGCAAAAACCAACACAAAACACAAATCAAAAACTAAATTGAAAAACAATAACAACAACACGCACTTATAGGCCTAGCTGAATTTTCTTAAAAGCCCGTCGATGAATCTATTATGATATTATCTATATGTGGTGGCCGAATTTTGCTATTCAAAAGACTTTTTAATGGCTGCATCGATCGACATGCGGTTTTCGCCAAAAGATTTTAAAAATTTTCTCCAGATCATGACGCCCTCCGTTTTTTCAGTTTTGAGACAGTTTTGCTGCAAAAAGCTAATTAATTTTTATATTTCGCCGATCGCTTTTGTAGGCCGATGCTTCTGTCTCCGTAATTTTAGGAAATGAGGTTCCCGTTCACTAACCGTGCGCACTGTTTTGAGAGTATCTAAACCTTCTAATTTTGTGTCTCTCAAAATGTGTTGCTCCATTCCAGAAATATGTAAATATCATAAGCCAATGTCTTTCGGTTGACGTTAATGCACCGATTATTCCTTTCATCGAAAGGGGGCCCAGCTAGTTATTTTTTTAAAAGAGGGAGCCCTGGTTATAAAACCCTTGGACACTTAGGACAAAATGAAACCGTGTGCCTTAGGCTGTCCCTGTCGTTTTAGGTAAGAAAAATTCTGAAATTATTCAAACTAAGCCAAAAAATGAGAGATTATGCGATTCTGTTAATTTTAACAAAGAATGATAAAGGAAAATAATCAGAAATGATGCACACAAAAAATGATCAAATTTTGCTAAATTATGCGGGGTGCATTAAATCACGGGTCAGCTTAATTAATTAGGGGTGCAATTACTATTGATTCAATTCGCCTAGCTAAATTGAAATTCCACGTAGCCTACAAGATCATAGTTTACGAGTCATGGACAGGTCAAGACTTAAGACTGTGCACGTCATTAATTCGAGTTTGGGATAACATAAGCACATGTTGCAGTTGATATGATGGTGGCCGGCTCATGAGTCCTTGATCCAGCAGCTAATTTTTTTTGGTAATGATTCATTATTATAGGGGAGGGCGGTGAGACTTCAGACACTTATGTTATATAATATAACGTTTAGCTCCACCCCACGCTTCAGGAGCAATTCCAGTAAGCCAAAGAAAAAGGTTTCACTATAAATTGTCACTGGGCATCACCACCAGCAATTTCAGCTTCATGCATCATCACGTTTTATCATATCTGCAGGCCTACCTATACATGTCCGAACCATCCCACTTGAGGGCGGGAGACATCAGGTAAACGTGAGGGAAACTTTGGACAAATAATAATAATAATAATAATAATAAT